AGATAGTACCCATTTGACCTAGCTTCAATGGCTGGATGATCAGAACTTGACTAGAGAAAGAAACAAGAAAAAAATTTTTTTGGATAAAGAAAACAGGTGTGGTAATTTGCTACAATTTGATGAACTTGACCCATATTATGGATGTAGTAGCTTAAATTACCAACCAAGAGGGAAGGACTCTTCACAGCAAGGATCATTCCAATTCCCTCTGTACAAAGGGTTGATAGAGATGGGCAACTTAGACATTAGCTACCTAAAATGAGGGGGCCATAAATGCACAAAGTGACTGGCTTACAAGTTTTCAAGAGGGAGTTTAGTTTCAGAGGGTGTGGGGAAAAGTAGAATCTCCACTGAGTAGTTTTCATCCTGTCTAGATGGGTTTGGTGAAAGGAGATGGGGATTAAGACTTGTGGTTCAACAGTGAGTAATTGTTATCATGACTGATTACGATTGTTGCAACTGTAAAGGTAATTGTTTTGTAGCAAAAAGAGGTGAGTGGTTGATATTACAGTCCAGGAGCAGAGTTCCCTGGGGACCATAAAGGAAGAAGAGCAGGAGCAGAGTGTGGGACCCAGCAGCGATGCCAGAGATGGAAGCAGATGATGTGGAGAGATGGAGCTGCTGGGGACTCAGGACTCTAGACTCAAGAAGGGAGAGGGGCTGTGTGCTGGTGGCCAGAGGGGCAGGCTTGTAGGGGGTGCCCTTTGGTTGTTTGTATGATTATTTATTCCTGAGCATTGTGGTGTACATCCAAAAACAGAGGGTAGAAGCAAATACTGTTGAATGATGATGCATGGAGGGGATTGTAATCATTGCAATGAAACAAAATAGGATAGGATGAGTGTAAAGCTGATGTTCTCCCATGTAAACCATCACTCAATTCACAATAAAAACTTTAAAATTACCAACTAAAAATCTGTGTCGTTTGAATTCTTTTTATCTCACTTACCATCCGATAATTTAAAAAATCATGAGCCTGTGTCAAATATTAGCAGTGATTAAAAAGTCAGCAGAAAACAGAACAAAACATAGTAGTGAAAGCAATGGGGAAAAGGTTTTATGAAACATAACATTTTATGAAAAATTGGTTTTCAAGTAGGGGCCCCCATCAGAGTTATGTGAAATAAGTAATGAAGTATAAAGGAAGAGATAACAGTAGTTTAATTTTATTCACATACAGTTTCCATTCACATATAGTTAACTCATTCATAAAAACATTTTTGCTATTTTAACATCCTTTGTGGTTCTTCATCTCTTACAAATAAATCCCCACTCAGAGCAGAACTATTAGAAGTTATATCACAAATAGAACACATGAAGTATTTTTTTTTAAACCTTTAAACTATGGCTTAGGAACAATTGTACACAGCAGGTTACCTATACATACTAACAGACCTAAGGTACCTTTTTGGGCAATCTATTTCCTTGAGAAATTTAAGAGAGAGTTGGCACTTTTTTCAAGAAGGTACTTTAAACCTGTTAGCGCAGTTTCTGCAGTGTGAAATTTCACTTGTTTATAAAGTGGTGTCTTAAGCCGATCGTTTCTCCCAAAACCCCAGAAACTAGCTCTTGCTCTGGGAAAGTACTGAGGATAGAACAGATTCTTCTGGGTAGACAGCAAAATTGGGACTACCTTTATATGCTGTTGCTTACTATTGGGTCCATCTGACCCATCGCAACCCTGTGTGCAGAGCAGACTGCTACGTGAGTGTTCAAGGCTGTGACTTTTCAAAAGCAGACCACCAGGCCTGCCTTGCGAGATTCTATGGGTGGGTTTAAACTGCCAACCTTCTGCTTAGTAGCTGAGCACGTAACCATTTGCATCACGAGGGAGCCTATGTTGTCGTTAAGTGCCATTGAGTCTGTTCCCACCCACAACAACCCTGTAAGTGCACTCAGTTTGAATAGATACCCTAGCTTTCACAGATTTGAGCTCACTAGATTGAAGTTCTGTAAGAATAATGTCTGTTTCATTCAGCAATGTATATCCAGTGCCTGGCATAGTACCTGGCACAGAGTGGGTACTGAATAAATACTGTCAATGACTGAACAATTTTTACCAGCAAGTGAAACAAAAGACAACTTTGAATAAATGACATGAAAATACCAACTATTTCATTATGCAGTAATAGCTGTTGATGTCAATTACATTCTGTATTTAAAGTAGCTTACAAATTGGGTAAAATCAATTCCCTCCATAAATAAAGGAATTCTGCAATCATAATAGGAAAAAAAGGAAAGCAATCACATTTTATCCTCCAATGCTGATGTGTGAAACTTGGAATACAAGTGGAACCACAGTATTAGGTAAGGTAATTCCAAAACAAATTTGAGCATTTTGCAAATTTACTCAAATATATATATATTTTTTCTAACAAAACTCCTTACTCCTAACTAAAGCAAAAAAAAAAAAAAAAAAAACTTCAAGTTTTACCAAACTCCTAATAGAACATATCTAATCATGTTCTAGTTTACCTTTTCATCCTTTAATCCATGCCAGTGAATTTTAAAAATAGAAGAAGCCTATTAAATGCAAATCATTCCCCAAATTTTTTTAAAGAAGAAAGTAATCAATGCCTATGACCTAAATTAGCTAGTAGGTATTTAGGATATTTGTTAACACCATGATTTTGTCCTTCTATATGTGATTTACCCAGCATTGTTGAAATTAACTTGAACTAAAGTCAACTAAATGAAAACACTGATCCATTAATAACTTCAAAAGTGATTGTTGAAACTTAAATCAGTAGAATAATAACAGCATTATATCCTGAAATTAGAAAATCATTAGCATATTTAAAAGCACATTTACCTATTCAATTAGGTCAACAGCAGGATTTATCAAAATTCTCCATCAACATCAAAATGTTTTTAAAAAAATCTTGATATTTTTTAAGGTTCTATAAAAAATATGCACTAATCAAATGATATGTGTTTGATCTGACCAATTTCACAAATCTAGGAAAAAAGGAAAGGAAAAGAAACCTGACCAGTTAAATTTCCAATCCTGAACATTAGGCCCTTTCTTAGCACTATCAGCACTCTTGGTTCCCAATTATAAGCAATATAGAAATTTCACTAAGATCAATTCTAATCAGTTTAGTCCATCTACTTTCTTACTGAGCATCATTTCCATCACAATCCAACAGAAGAATAACACAAATCTCATTTCTTGGTCACCTTTGAACCCAAGGCAACCAGTCTCAACAATAAGCAAAAAATGTTGCTTTATAGCCAGTACTCTGTTTCCACAGTTTAAAAAAAAAAAATCCAGTCATAAATCTGTCATCTGAGAAAATCCTTCACTGTTCTAACAGCACAGTTCGGAGTTCATCTTCTTTCCTGATCATCATTGAAGCTATTGCTCCATCATTAAATTCAAAAGAAGTTCCTCCATCCACAACCATACAGGCATCCCAACAACGAGAACGAACACAAACCCTAAACAGAAAGAGATATCTCAGTAAATATTAATGCTCTTAACACTAAATAACTTCATTATGACCTGACTTATGTAAACTAATGGATCATTCAGCTTTGCTTTTAAATATCAAGTTGAAGTGAGAATTGTAAATGCAGACAGTCACACTCTTGTTTAATATTTAAAATATTTGTAGTGATAATAACTGTTTTAATAGCCAATCACATGAAAACAGCTCATGACTTCCATTAAGTCTAAACTTGTTCATCGATAAATGTTTACGCATACAGTGTTATCTTGGGCATTTAACTTTGAATCTTAAGATATAACAGCACAAATTATTAGTGTACAGCACAATGAACACACAGTGTCATCACCCAAGTCAGGAATGCTACCCAGCTCTCCAAACCCCGTTAACTCCTATCCTAGTCACTACCTCCTACCCAAGCATAACCATGATTCTAACTTCTGTCCCCATAACAGTAGTTTTGTCTGTCGTCTAACCTTATATAAGTGCAAGAATACAATATATATATTTGTGTCTGGTTTTCTTTTGCTAAACAGCACGGTTGTGAAATTTATCTATGTTACTACACGTAGCAGTAGTTTGTTCACTTTCAGTGCTGTGTAGTCCATACTTTATGAAAATACCAAAATGTCTAGTCTACTATTTGTGCACATTTTGGTTTTTGGCTCTTGGAAGTAGGCTCACTATGAATATTTTTTGTATGTTTTTTGGCACACACATGAATTATGTATTTCTGTTCCAGTTGCTCCACACCTTGCCAACAAATAATAGTTTGCTCATTCTGGTAGGTATTGTATTCTGTATTTTTAATTTGCTTTTTCTTGATAAATAATACATCTTTTCATATGTTTACTGAGCATCTGGGTATTCTCCTTTGGGAAAAGCTTGCCTGAAACAGCCCTTTTTTCACTGGGTTTGTTGTTGTTGTTAGGTGCCATCGAATTGGTACCGAACCACAGCGACCTTATGCACAGCAGAATGAAACACTGCCCGATCCTGGGCCAACCTCACTATTGTTGTCACACTTGAGTCCATCGATGCTGCCACTTGGCCAATCATTTCATTGAGGGTCTTCCTCTTTTCCTCTGACCCTCCACCTTACAAAACATGATATCCTTCTCCAGCGACTGGGCCCTCCTGACAATATGTTCAAAGTATGAGAGCCGAAGTTTGGCCATCTTGGCCTCCAAGGAGCACTCTGGCTGCACTTCTTCCAAAATGGTACTGGTTCTTTTGGCAGCCCATGGCACTTTCAATATTCTCCTCCAACATCATAACTCAAATGCATCAATTCTTCTATGGTCTTCCTTATTCACTGTCCAGCTTTCACATGCATATGAGGTTATTGAAAATACCATGGTTTGGGTCAGGCACACCTTAGTCTTCAAGCTGACATCTTTGCTCTTCAACATTTTAAAAAGGTCTTGTGCCTAATGCAGTACATCGTTTGATTTCTTAACTGCTGCTTCCATGAGTGTTGATAGTTGCTTCAAGACGAATGAAGTCCTTGACAATTTCAATCTTTTCTCCGTTGAAAAGAATGTTGTTTATTGTTCCAGTGGTGAGGATTTTTGTTTTCTTTACATTGAGATGTAATCCATACCGAATGCTGTGTTCTTTGAACTTCATCAGTAAATGTTTTAAGTCCTCTTCACTCTCAGCAAGCAAGGTTGTATCATCTGCATATCACAGGTTGTTAATGAGTCTACCTCCAATCCTGATGCCAGGTTTTCACTGGATTACTTGTCTTTTTTTCATACTGGTTCGTAGGAATCTGTATGTATTATATATTATGGTAGTCCTAGTATGGTACTGTAGAATAAGCACTGAATGGTTAACCTCAAGGCTGACAGTTCAAACCTACCACTTACTCTTTGGAAACCTATACAGAGTCACTATCAGTCAGAACTGACTCAACAGCACTTAACAACAACATATTATACGAGCAAAAGTTCTCTTGTAAGACCTGGTTAACAAGCAGTAGGATGAGACCTGGGGACTCCTGGGACCAGGGGCTGGGACATGGTCCCAGAAGACTAGAATGGAGTGTGAAGCATCCTGCTGATATGAAGTGAGGGGAGATGCACAAGAACACCCATACTTGCAGATACCCATTTGACCTGGCATCAATGGCTGGATGATCAGAATGTGACTTGAGGAAGAAAGAAGATGAAGAAGAAAGCAAAAGAATAACCTACCACAAATGGATGAACTTGATATATGCTTGTGGATGCAGTATGACAAAGGAGTGTATAAATCTTTACAGTGAGGATCATTTCCACCACCCACCCCCGCCCCCCAAAATGGGGGCACTACAAAGGCAAGAAGTGACTGGCTTACAATCTTTCAATAGGGAACCTAGCTCTACAGGATACAGGGAAGGGTAGAACCGCCACTGAATTGTTTCCAACCTGTCTGGATGGGGTTGATAAAAGGTGAGGGGGGAAAGGACTCCTGTGGTTCAACAGAGAATGATTGCTATACGGTCTGACAGTGAGTGTTGGAAAGGTAAGTGTAAATGTTTGGTAACAAAAGGAGGGGAGGGGCTGATTTTGCAGTCCAGGAGTGGAGATCCCTGGGACTATCAAGGGAGAAAAAGAAAGTACGAGAGCCTGTCCGGGGAGGCAGTGACACTAAGGGATGGAGGCAGAGACGATGACATGGACAGAGGGAGAGGGGTTGTATGGTGGCAGCTGGGGTGGGGGGGTATGTGTGGGTTATATCATGTGGTTGGTTGATGATGCATGCAGGGGATTGTGACCACTGAAATGAAACAAAATATGATAGGATGAATGCAAAGATAATGTTCACCCACGTAAATTAATACATAATTCACAATAAAAAAAAAGTTCTCATGTAAGAAGACTGTATCTTTAAGGAGTTGTTATAGTCTCACCCAAACTGAGCATACATTTGTTGAGTCATCAAAATTAATTATCAAATAAATAAAGTGAATTTTATTAGGCTGAGCTTTATTTTTAGTGACTTTCCTGGGAAATAAACCAAAATGTATTCATTCATACAAAGAAAATATACAGTTGCAGTGCAGTGAAATATTTCATATAGCTCTTCACCCATAGTCTTCGTAACTCTCAGCAGACGTTTTTGCCCTGCTAGATCTGGGTAAGAAAAGTTGGGCAAAGATGCTGGTAGGATCTCATAGGCACGCGAACACAAGGTCAGTATAAATTGCAAGGTTGGCAGTTCAAATCCACCAGCAGCTCCCTGGACACTCTATAGAGGGTCGCTGTGAGTTGGAACCGACTGGTAGGCACTAACCAACAACAAAAACCATCAAAGAAGAGCAGCCTGAAGTAGAGCACATCGTTGGACCCCAAATCCCTGTTCATGAGTCTCTGTGCCACTAGAGGAGCTTTGTCACACTGTCCCAGCAGAGGCCTGCCTGTACGCATGGCTGAGAAGAGGTTGTCCTGACTCGAAGAACTGGGCCCTGAACATTTTCTGATTCTGTATCATCACTACTGGTTTACTTCCCTAATAAACCCCAAAACTGTGTGTACGGTATCTGAGTTCTGTGTGGTTACCACAAAGAATTGTTGAACTCAGAAGAAACACCAAGACTGTTGTGGGAGCGATGGTCTGGGGCACATTTTAACAGTAAAGCAGTCATTTATGCTTTCAACTGTTCTTTGCTGTCTTGAACGAAATGACATTTTCTTAGAACATTACAAAATAAGAAATTATATTCATTTTTAAATTATCTTCTTCTCCAGGTTGTAGAGGAGCTCTGGTAGCGTAGTGGTTACAAATCAGGCTGCTAACTTCAAGGTCGGCAGTTTGAAAGTACCAGCTGTTCCACGGGAGAAAGATGAGGCTTTCTGCTCCCGTAAAGGTTTACAGCCTCAGAAACCCTGTACAGGGTCGCTGTGAGTCGGAACGACTCCACGGTACTTAACAACAACAATAACAACCAGGTTGTAGTGGTGGGGGGGCGGAGGCAGGCAGAGCTGAAGTAAATCTAAATGAATGTTACTCTAAAAAGTGTATTGCTAAACAATTTTGGTTGTATATAAATGCTAATTGTGCTTTAATTGCACAGTTTATGCAAAAGAAGGTGTTTTTCAATCCATTTCCTTTCATAATGACAGGATGATTTTAATGTTTGTATCTCAATACATTAAAAACAAACATATCCATAGGACCAACAAAATATAGTTTATGCCCCTTCTAGTCACTAAGTTTTTTATTTCCATAAAATGACACAATAAGTTACAAAGAAAATATCTTTTAGCCAACTTATCATGCCTCATCTACTTTTTAATTTTTAATGAGTAAACTGCATGAAATTAAATACTCTTAAAACCAAACCAAGTATGTATGAGAGATGAAAAGACAGACTGTAGAAACTTACTTGGAGGAGAAACAACGCTGACGACTACTTGAGAAAACTCTGTTTGCTATTGGTTCTCGAATACTGAAAAGTATTTTTGGTTCTTCTGGACTGTACAGCAGCGATTCATTATACTCATTTGTTACTACAAAGAAAAATACTGCAAAATATTAGTACATTAAATGCAAAAGTCATTTCTGAGAATACAAAAAAAAGATGATAAAAGGAAAAGAATACTGATTTTTAAAATAGATGCTACCCTCAACTTAAAAGTATTCCAAAGGTCTGTTTCATAGCATACAGTACACCACACATCCCACTAACACACACAAATAAGAACACCCAAACTTATGAGGATTATGTTCAAAATTAGCCCACAGAAGTCTACGTCACCTAGAATACAGCAGAAATAGAGTCGGGTGGGTGGGGGGATATACTAATTACACAGAGTCTCGGTCTGGTGCTGTGGGATAATGCACTGGACTGCAAAGTCTATTTGAATTGCAAGCAGTTCAAATTCATGAGCTGCTCCTCGGAAACCTTATTCAGGGTCGCTATGAGTCTGAATTGACTCGATGGCACTTAACAACAACAACTAAAAAAAGAGGGAGACCCCCAATTAGATGGATTGACAGTGTCAGTGGCACTGGCCTCAAATTCAAACCTAACTGTGATTGTGAGACTGATGCAGGACCGGGCAGTGTTTTGTTATGTGGTACATCAGGTTGTTATGAGTCAGAACCTACTCAACAGCACCTAACAACAATAGCTAATCATTAAAAATAAAGGAACCAATCGTTGTTATTCGTTGCCACTCACGGAGACCCCAGGTGTCTGCGCCACAGCATTTTCAATGACGCTGATTCTTTTGGAAGCAGATCACCAGGCCTTAGTTCTGAGCTGCATGAGTGGGTTTGAGCCACCAACTTTTCACTTAGTAGTCCAGAGCTTAACCATATGTGCCACACAGGACCTCCTGGCCAGAGGCACTGAAAAATAGATTTTCATTTGGCATATTCTCCTGCCAAGTTCTTCTCAAAATACCATGTCAAAGATTTTATAAGTACAATTTTATGTTAATAGTCTTGATATAAAATGCTGTCTCAAACATTAACAAATTACATGCTTTTTCCAATGAAACTGTCATTACTTAAGAAATTTTTAGAAATACTTGGGACCTGCTTTCTCTCTAACTAAGAGACACATGAGGATTGGCATGCAAAGCACATATTGGTTAAAGACAACAGTACAAAGAAATCAGGCATGAAAGAAAGTTTAATTGAGCACCATATTAGAATTAAAAAACTTAAAAATTAAAAAGTAAACAAATAAAGAAATTATAAAACTATCAGATAATCTACCTGATTTACTAAAGTTGCATTTGAATCATTTGACTCTTTAGAAAAATCAAATACATCCTCAAAAATAGAACTTTGCCTTTTTGGAAACATTGACAAAATGTGTTAATTCAGATGGAAATTCCAAAAGAGTAGTTTCAAAATATGTAGAATGGTAACTGAAACATTAGCATTCACTACATTGGATGATAATATTGAAAGTGCCATGGTCTGCCAAAAGAGCAAACAGATCTGTGTTGGAAGAAGTATAGCCAGATTACTCCTTGGAGGCCAGGATGGCCAAACTTTGTCTCTTATACTTCAGACATACTGTTAGGATGGACCAGTCGCTGGAGAAGGATATCATGTTTGGTAAGGTGGAGGGTCAGAGAAAAAGAAGACCCCCCAGCAAGATGGCTTGGCCAAGTGCAGCATTGATGATGCAAGCGTGGCAACAATTGTGAGGTTGGCCTAGGATTGGGCAGTATTTCACTCTGTTGTACATAGGGTCACTATGAATCAGTACTGACTTGATGGCACCTAACAACAACAACAACTTCTCAAAAGAGCCACAGTCAACCAGAAGTAAAGCTCTCTACGTTTAGGAGAAAAGTCAATGACATAGTCTTTGTTGTTGTTAAGTGCCATTGAGTCGGTTCCGATCCATAGCGACCCTGAACAGGGTTCCCGAGGCTGTAAATCTTTA